AAAACAACCTCTCTCCCTGGTTTTGCCATGGAGGTGGCAGGAGAACTTACAAAAGCTATTTGTCTGAGTGGAAACTTACACAAATAGCTACACCAGTCAATTATTAATAAAAATTCCTGCCTGGAGCTAGATTAAGCTAGAAATGCAATTAAAGGAAGGGAGATTAACACAATAGGGAAAAAGTGGGCCAACAGCTTCGGGCTGCTCTTCCCTAATTCTTTTATTCTTACTTTTCCTATAGCTTTTAAGATGGGGAAAGCCTCAAAACAGGTCTTGTCTATGTGAAATATCTCCAGGTTGCAGCAATCAGACCTTTTCCCATCCCTATTTTCTGATAGCCTCTGTTGTGTGGTACATTTTTATCTGACAAGGAACAAAGCAGATCCGCTAAGATAGGCAACCTTGGCTCTTTTATGACTCGTGGACTTCAACTCCCAGAATTCCTGAGCCAGCCATGCTGGCTCAGGAATTCTGGGAGTTGAAGTCCACGAGTCATAAAAGAGCCAAGGTTGCCTAACCCTAGGCTATAAACCAGAATGTTTTAATAACTGTCCTGTAAACATCCATTCGCCATCTAGAATTTTTGAATCTATAAATCAGCCTTTCCCAACCTCTTGGCACCAGATGTATTGAGATCATAGTTTGCCATTGGCCATCGTAGGTAGCCATATGGTCTTTGTGTACCATGAGGGCCCCAGGTTGGGAAAAATGCTCCCTACCGGTATGAGCACGCATTCCTGTTAAAGATCAGTGAGTGCTCGGGTCTGGACTTTCTAGGAGCAGAAAAGAAACCAGAACACTGTTTCTCACCCTCCCACCTCCCAATCCTCCTCTGTGTCACGTCCTATTGGTTGTTCCATAGGTTAGAATTAGATCAGTTATACAGGATTAAAACTGCACTTTTACCAGAAAAGTGCTTCTTTCCTGTTCAGTGGGAATACAGTTGCAGTGGCCAGTCTGAATCCAAGGCAGGTGTCAGGAAGCTATGGCAGTCCAGAAGCCACTGAGGTCTAGATATCCCCTATCATTGGTCATATGGACTGGGTTCCTGCAAGTATCCTCCAGTAATTATCTGAAGGGCTAAAGAGTCCCATATCTCTGTGGACTATAGATAGTCCTTGCTTAGCAACCATATTTGGAACCATTAAGCGAAGCAGTCGCTAAGTGAAACAAGAACTGTGTTTATGATCTTACTTAGCTTTCCTTCATTTTATAGAACTGTGAAGGTCATAAATGTGAGGAATTGTCACTAAGTTGCTTCTTCATCACTGTCATAACTGTGAATGGCCACTGTACAAGGCTAAATGAGGTCCACCTGTATACTATTTTCTCAACTCTTCTTTTGTATTTTGTAAATATTTTTTCAAATCCTTAAGGGCAAGCTATCCCAACATCCAATTAAAAAAAAAGATTTTTGTTCCATCTGTTGTTTTCATTTTACTGAAAACTGTATAACCATGAGAACCCTCCATCCACCTTATTAACCAGTGTTAAATGGCCGTCTTGGAATTTTTTCTTTGAAATTTATAATCTTATAATCTCATAATTTTAGAATGTTTAATCTTAAACTAATTTTAATATTCTAATGTTAACGTTATATGCTGTTTTATATGTTGATTATGCTGTACACCACCCAGAGCCCCTCCTTGAGGCAAATGGCCATTCTAAAAACATGAAATATATATAAATAAATCTTCATAACTCCATGCATGGGTGCCATCCATCCACCACCCCATATTTTCATCTCCTAAGTAGCAATCATGTTAGCCTGTTGACATCCAAAAAAAATATCTGAGTACAAAGTAGAAACTGAAATTTGCTTTAGAGAAAAAATAAAACATAATCGTTTGCAAGGTTTTTAAAGGCTTTTTGAAATAAATAAGTACTAAGACAGGGATAGATGCCCTCAAAAGCAAAGTGACAATGAATGTGTCCAAACCAGCTACAAGAGAGGTAGAAATTCAACTAGTGAAGTATAGGCATTGCTAGTTACATGCAGTATTATTCTCGGGCTAGTCCTGCAAGACTAAGGGTGTTAACATTATAACAAGTTTAAAAACTGAAAGGTGTGAAGATGGCAATTTGCATATTAGTAAAACTTTCTATATTCTTGCCTCTCCACGCTTCCTGTTTCTCACACAGCTGTCAAAGACTGAAAAGTTTTGGTCAAAAGAAAGGTGGCAGCGTTTCGGGGCTGTGTGTAATCCTGCCCACAGTGGATTCCTGCAATGCGCCGCAGTGGCTGCAAGGAACACTCACAGGATCATCCCACATGCCATATTTTTTTGCATACAAGCCTGGAAACAACTTGGCACTCTATAATTGTTTTGATTTCTATCTCCAGCCAGTGTGTGCTATGACAACATGAAGGATGGGAACGGAAGTCCAAAGCATCTAGTTTGCCCATCCTACTGCACAATAAAAACATGTCCAAGTAGGCACCTAACACAGTGAAAAATAAAAGCACCAAAGATGGCCCATTGAGGCAGTTTCCTTATGAAAGAAATCTTGTTTCATTCATGGAATCAGATGTGAGATGACAGCTGTTTTCCATTAGTAATCTTCCTCAATTTGGCACTGCTTCTGCTGTTTATTTTTTCTTACTGGAAAAAAAAACATTAAGGAAGTAAAGTGCACAGGGTCTGCTTATTTATACAAATGAAGCGATCCATTTAAAAGCACCCTGAATTATTTGTTTAGGTATTATGACACAGTGCAACTCCTTCAAATTTCAGCCCCACCTACACAGAAATGTCTACAAGGCAACCCTCATATATTTCATGCACTGTGTTCCTAACCCAGTGAGGTAGGCAAAATAATGACCAAAAGTCAGCATTACTTAGTGTCTGTTGGCAAGATGAACCTCACATCTTTTGTTCTTCATGCAACAGTTTAGCCCAAGGCTGAGTAGCTTTCTTCGCCTAGAGATCTGCACTGTTGCCATTTGGAGAATAGCTGCAATGGATGAAGTGCACCACATAAGCACACATATTGCCCTGCTTCTTTGCTAGAGATCTTGCTGAAATAGTAAAGGATTCTCACTTCCTTCCCTTCACCAGACTGCCTGGTTACCACTGCAGGAAATCAGCAATTTTATGTAAGGCCACTGGGAGGGTCTCTTTGCAAGCCCACTAAGGGATCCTGGTCACAACTGATCATTATCTGCTGCCATGAACTCTCAGCCAATTATCTGACAAATAGGGCAAGCAAGGAAGGTTCCCCAGTGTCCCGCAAATGGCAGATCTGACATAAGTGTTGCACCCAAACTGTGGTCTGCCCACACCTATTCTACTCTTTATATCACATTGTATGTGTGCATGCTTTCAAGTGAGTGTTGATTCCTGGCAACTTCCCCGGACCAGTCCCTGCAGTTCCCTTGGCAAGATTTTGGAAGTGCCTTGCCCAAGGTTGAGAATGAGTGACTGGCCCAAGGCCCCAGAGTTGGCTTCCTGTCTAAGACAGAATTCGAACTCAGGTTCTCCTGATTTCTTGCCTGATACTTTAAGGCTTAACCATTTCACCAGACTGGTTCTCTTATACCACATTGATTTTTTCTAATATTCAGTGTGAGGCATAAAGTGCCTTCATAACCTCAGGCTAAGTCTTCATGAATGTCTTCATTTTATTCTTACTGTTGCTTCCATCTTTTCCCCATTAGTTTTAAAGGAACTATGGATTCCAGACTTTAGGTGGTGCTGGTGCTATATGCAGAAATGAATCTCGGGTATGCATTATGCACATGAAGAGGAAATTTATAGATCTGATATATTTTAAGCTCTATGTCTATTGAGGGAACCTAAAAAGGCACCATTTTGAGCAATACAGTATTAGCTATTAACAGTTTAGGTAATAATGACTTTTACAGAAATTCATATATGAAAATATTAGTATGCTTATACTGTTGTGATATAAATGCATAGACGAATTTAAGGCTTGAAATTCCAAGGAAGACTGTCTAGTAGGTTTCTTTTAAGTTTTCTTTTTTACACTTGGAATATATTTTTGAGCATAACACATAATACAAACCATCATTTTCGTTAAGATGTGTACATAGAAGCATGGTCTTTCTTTCCTTGTAACAGGTCAGTGAGATTAATATGCTTTCTTTAGTATGTGTTTAGATCCCATAAACATTGAACTCAACCTAGTATATATTCATATCCTGTTTATTTTCAACAGAATGGTTCTCAGATGTGTGCATTAAGATTGCTTTTGGAGCACAAAGAATTAGCTTTTTATTTCTAGGGCCAGGGCTGGATTGGGTTCACAAGCATGCAAACTATAAAGTAGTTTGTTTGCTGTTGGGTAGTTTGGCCTGTACTCATAATTTATTACTGTTCACTGAGCCATTTGTGGTTTATTAAATGAGCAGTGATTTAGCATGATGTGTAAACCAAACAGCTGCTTCTGAGTTTGTTGTTTACAGATTCTGAGCTTGAGAACTAGAGCTTTCACACTTGTAGCCGAGGTAATAAAACTGTGAGACCGTAAGTGCATAAAAATGTGTTTATGGGTTCGTTAGCCACTCAGTATCTATGGATGGAAACTAATCAAGGAGAGAAGTAACCTAGAACTAAGGAGAAACTTCCTGACAGTTAGAACAATTAGCCAGTGGAACAACCTGCCTCCAGAAGTGGTGAATGCTCCAACACTGGAAGTTTTTAATAAGAGACTGGACAGCCATTTGTTCGAAATGGTGTAGGGTTCCTGCCTGAGCAGGGGGTTGGACTAGATGACCTCGAAGGTCCCTTCCAACTTTATTATTATTGTTGTTGTTATTGTTATTTCAGGCATGGGCATCCATAAGAGGAAGGTATATATTTCACATAAACATTTCACAAATTCAAAACTAACAGGCACAGCTCTTCAGGTCGCACAATTATCGCGTCTTTTTAGATGTGGAGGTGCCTACTTTCGGCAACCTTGGTGCCTGGTCTAAGATGGCAAATGCGGGCCCTTGTTTCACCAGCCTTGCTATCCCCTGTTCACAGGCTCTTGGTGTGCGACTCTCGATTTCGCCCTTCCCCTCAGAAAAGGAAGATGTGGCGCTGCGCCTCCGGAGGAGGAAGGGGCAATAGACGCTCGAACCCGGAAAGAGGTTTTCCGTCGAGAAACTTTCGATTTGCCGGTGGAGATCGGGAGGTCGCAGAGGAACCGCTGGGTCAAGAGAGGCCGAAATGGCGGTGAGTCTCGCAGCTGCAAGAGCTTTGCATCTGTCTAGCGGACGGGCAGAGAGAAACACTCCACTGTCTCCTGATCGCGCCCCAAAATTCATCAGTCTTTCGATCGTGCCCCAAAGTCCAGCGGCCACCGCTCAACTCAACCCGCAGGACGTCGAGAAGCCCTTATCGGTTCCCTGCCTGTAATCTGACTTGCCCCAGCCGGAAGCGAACTGGCCGGGATTGAGATGAAACTGAACAACACCATCTTCCAGCCAGCTCGACCTCCCACCCGGAGTTGGATTTCCATTAAATATCTCAAGGTTCAGGAAGATTCCCACATAGTTAAATACTTTCCTTCACAGGAACTGGTGTAGAAATCGCTCTCAGAAAAAAAAGAGAGCAAAAGGAATATATCATCCCTCACATACATGCCCGGAGGGCAAGGTCTGCAGTGCTCCTTTTCATTCTTCCCTTTATCTGCAAGGCAGCTTTTTAAGGATTAGTTATGGGTTGTATTTAATTCAGACACTGAACCAGCCTTCCCAAAACACTACTAGGCAGCCTAGTGGGTTCACAGTATCATATGAAATCTCAGTGATACTGGCTTTTGTTTTTGCCCCAAGATGTACTGATTTCCCCTTTTTTCCACCAAATCACAGTTCAGAAAATAGCAAAGAAGCGGTGCAGCTGCTCTTCCTGTTGCAAGGTCTGAATTTAAAAGGTTAGATCAGGCCTACGTTAGTGCTCCCTTTTCTGGAATCCTAGAGAGATTCTAACATCACATTTTCCCTTTGGGGAAGGGTGACTTCCAATGGAAAGAGGAAGCTGTTCTTGTCTGGCTGTCCGAGTGTTAGAGCTTGTTTTTCCAGTCCTCAGCTAGGATCCAGCCTCTCAAATCAGGTATGTGTAGCCTGGGTTGCTCAAACATTGGGAGCAAATGCCAAGATTGCCAGCAGCAGCTGCCCTGGGGGGGGGGGGGAGGCACATGAAGGAAGTAACTGCAAACAGGTAGCTATCTCTGTCAGGCTGGTTGAAAACTGCCCACAGGCAGGGCAACTAATTCTCAGACTCCATGAGGTCCGCATTTGGACTTGCTTATAAGGAAACATCTGAAAGGTCTGTACAGAGCTATGGAGCAGAACTGAGAGAGCCAAATCTTTTACCTAAAGAAGGTTTGAGAGGCACAGGGTCAAGGGTGGGGAGGGAGAAGACGTCATTTGGCCTGGACCTTAAGCTCAGAAAATGCTTAAATTTACAAATTTGCATTTAAAAAGCAGCATTGAAATGATGGTTATGATTTTTGGATGTCTGATTGTGTGCCAGTAAGTCATCATTTGTTGTTCTACCCATGGGCTGCAACTGGTAGGAGTTGCCAAGGTCTCTCTTGACTTCTCACAAGGCCTGAAGTGGTTTGTAAAAGTTCCTTAAATAGGCCAAAGATGCAAGCATTTTGATTGTGGACTAAGACCTTTTGAATTATTAGGCAAATATAAGAGAAGGCAGACTTGGTCACTGGGATATTTTGTGTAGTTCCAAGAATAGCTAGAAAGTATCAGGGGGAAAGCTGAAGGGAAATGAAGTTTGATTTTATGATTGTTGTTTCTGTTTTCTAGCACAATCTTTGTCCAAATTAGGGAGGGGTGTTCTCTCCCCCTCCGCTGTTTCTTTCAGAAGAACAGGACAGGATGGAAAATAGGGTGGGATAAAGGAATATATGAAGGCAGGAATAAAGGTATGGATGGCATAGAAACTCAGGCTGAAAAGCCCTTTGAAGTGAGAAACATCGGTCGGGACAGAAAGGAGCTATCTTAACAGATGGAAAAAAAATGTGTCATTTCTAAGGCTATCATATTTACTTCTTTGAAAATTATTAAAATAACAGTACTAACTGAGGACTTTTAGGAATTGAAAACTTGACTCCTAAACTTAGGTAAAATAAGCAGAATTAGTCCTGATTAGGACTTGGATGGGACACTTCTAAAAAGTACTAGGATAGTGGATTAGACTTGAGAAGTTGGAAAACCTTCCCAGAAGATACTGGCAAACAACATCAGTACTGCTGCCAAGAAATCTATGCACTCCTGCATAGATCTATCTGAGAAGTCCCCAAGAGCTAAAGAGTTATAGATCTATCTGAGAAGTCCCCAGGAGACTCACCTTCTGCCAGGAGAAAAGATGACGGCAAAAGTTTGCAACACCACAATGTGGATGTTTCCGAGGTTGATCTCCATGGAGAGGCATATTTGCACTGCTTGATGACCCTTGCAAGGGGATTGTCCATCTGAATCCATCAGATAGCAAACTTTTGGGGTTATCAATTGAAGGAGAATCTAGAACAGCAGATGAAGGAGGAGCAGGAGAACCAACTAACTAGTTTCCTGCCTGTCTTTTCAGCCTCCTGGTTTCCTTCTTGTGAGTTAAGAAGAAAGGACAGATGGGTCCATGTTTTCAGAAGACACTGCTGTGAAACACTCATCCTAAGCAATGTTGGCCATGTGATATTAATTAGTTTAGTTCCTTATACGTTTTAGAGAAGAAATTATTGCTCAGAGTTTTCTATACTTTCTGGTGAAAAAAAGGTTTTGCTTTATTGGGATTAGTAATCACTGAATATCAATAATCTACAAACTATTACGAGCACACAAAGAAAAATTCAGCTACTCTCTCTATAATAGAGTAGATTATATATTGTGCATTAGATTCAACCTATTTTTATACATGTTTTTAAAATGAGTGTTATGCATGTCTATGCAGCCATTAAGATGAGATCCGCAGAATAAGAGACCCCTAACAGTAAATATTTAAATAACAATACATATTTAAATAATTAATATTTGTTTATAGACACCCAGATCTGCTTCCTTGAAATAATCTTGCTGTTCTTGCTGACTGTAGACCCAGCATGGAATTTCCTTAAAACTAATAGCTGTTTCCTTTGAAGGATTGGTGATGTGAAACTATGGCTGCTGCCAGAGAAATACTCCATGTGATTAAGGATTTAAAGAGTAAGTATATGTAGCTGCTCTCTAAAAAGATGGGCATTATCTGGGTTCTGCTTGGGCGTTGGGTATATTTCTCACATATCCCTTGGGATGGTATTCTTTTGTATTGTGTTTATATTATGTTTCATACCTGGTGTCTGAACAAAGCACAGTTGATGGCTGTGGACTAGGCCAGTGATTCTCAACCTTTTTAATGCCGCGACCCCCAACCGGTCGTAAGAGGACTACTCAACCGGTCGTAAGTCAAGGACTACTCAACTGGTGCAGCACCGTTTGCAGAATGGGACTTTTGGCGGGCTCAGCAGGGCAGAGACAGCCTGGACAATTCCTATTGGCTTTTGAAAGCCAATAGAATTAGACTCTATTCAAGAGAGTCTATTCTATTGGCTTTCAAAAGCCAATAGAATAAAAGGGAGTAGCACAGCTAAGGAAAAGGGGGAAAAAATGGCGGACTGCGTTGTTTGGCGACCCCCGTGAAATGGTCGTTCGACCCCAAATGGGGTCCCGACCCACAGGTTGAGAACCGCTGGACTAGGCAGTTCTGCTGACCTTCCCCTGAGGAGAATCACTTAGAACCCAGCCAGAATTAGAAAGAGTGACCAGATTCCAGTCACTGAAGGTAGCCTGTTAAAATTGAAGCGGTTTTTCAGTTTTGCTGTCTGGGAGATTAACATAATCTCTAGGCAAATCTCTATCTATAAAGAACTAGCCGGAAAACCACAGACAAGTGCCTATCGTGCCACAGGCTAGAAAAGAAACCGCTCAGAATGGGATAATTAACTCAGTGGAATCATGTGTGCCCATTCGAGTTTAGCAGGAGCTTATAGTGGCATCAGTTATGCTTCTGTGGCAAACCTCATGTATCTTCACTGCATTTATTTGGAGTTGCCCACCACACACCTTCCTGCAATTTGAAAAATGTCTGCAAGAATAAAAGGCAGATTATTCTAAGGCCTACTCACCGCATCTACAGTATCTAGCAAGGATGCCATAATCTGAAGAAATTATTCTGATGCTTCCCTGATATCCTTCCCTGATACCCTTTACACATAGGAGGTTATGAATGTTGACTGCAGTGCTGTCTGTGTTGACTGTGTTGTAGCTATGACACTGTCATATATAGACCTTGGCCTTGGCACCAAAGATGGGAATCACTGGGTAAAATCCTAATCTAGTTGTGGATGGGTTCTTGACAAACAGATTAACAGGGCCAGAGTAATAAAATTAAATTCAGAGTAGACTTGGGTTGTTAGAAGTTCAGCAATAAAAAGTACAAACCCTCCCAGTCAATTTGCATGGAGGCAATGATACACCTGAAAATTGAGCTTTCTGGTTGAAGGTATGAATAATAAAACAATGAGTAGGGCATCCCATCAATTAACATATTTTACTGTGTGAGTCAACCTGCCTTTTATTGATTGATTGATTGATTGATTGCCTCTTTGTCCAGAACAGATCAGCCTTTTTTTTAATCTGTTCCTTTGCAAGAAGGAATAAAGCTCATTTGGGATAAATAACCTTGCCAAATGAGCTTTTCTTTTATGCTCTTTCCATCTTCTTCCTTTCTATACATGAGAATTGTGTGCAGTCTTTAAAAAGGTTTCATGGAAGTCAGCCTTTTTTTTTTTTTTTTTTGCTGGACTATTAAGTCCCTCTATGGGGTCATCCTAGATATATCTCCTCTTTGTTCCTTGTTCTGTCATTTTGGGTAGAATGTAATGCAGGGGTCTTCAAACTTGGCCCTTTTATGTCTTATGGACTTCAACTCCCAGAATTCCTCAGCCAGGCATGCTGGCTGAGGAATTTTGGGAGTTGAAGTCCACAAGTCTTAAAGTTGCCAAGTTTGAAGACCCCTGCTGTAATGGGTATGTTTGACACACCCTCTTCACCTGATTTTAACTTGAGGAGAAATGCTACAGCAGGACTCCAATTTTTTATGACTTCCCTCTTTTCCTCTTAGATACACTGGTTGATTTAAATCAAAACTACCGGGAGCGGGGTCTCCCAGTGACAGATGGTAGCCAGGAACTGCAACCGTTCTGTTCCCAACTGGAATTTCTACTGCAGGTATGAGACTCAGTCATCAATTCCAGGACTTTGCTTGGCAACAGGCTGTTGGAGAGAGGAGAAAGGGAGGAGAAAGAATGTGTGTGAGAGAGGGGGAAAGAAAGAGGGAGGGACGGAGAGAGGGAGAGGAGAGGGAGAGAAGGAGAAAGAGAGAGAGAGAGAGAGAGAGAGAGAGAGAGAATTGTTCTAGCTAATTTCTGTCCATTGCATGCATTGGTAGCTGCCACTACCAAAAATCCTTATTGATAACACCAAAAAAATACTATAGAGCCCCCAAGTAAAGAATTGTTTTTTATTCCTGGATTATAGAGTACATCACAAGAAATACAATTTAAATTGGTTCTAGTTACTAATGTTGTAACATGATGCACTCCCAGCTATTGAAGTCACTCCTTACTCCTTAGGCCAGGGGTATCAAACTCACAATGTCACGTGATATGTTGCAACGTATCGTGATTTTTTTTTCCATTGCCGGAGCTGGGGTGTGCGTGGTTTCGCCATGACACATCCCGCCTGTGGGACGGCAGTTTGGCTACCCTGCCTTAGGCAAAGTCTCATCTTTGTGTTGCCTCAAAAGATTTTTACTTTTTGCTATGTGATAAACAGGAGGAGTATAGAGTTATTTCCCCCCAGTATTCCTATCTGAATCTCCAGTATCTTTATAGTATTCCCTAAAACACACTTATTTAGAAAATCTATTTTTCAGTTCTTTCACCAGTCAGCTTACAATCAGCTACTGAATCGTTAATGAGAATGTCAGCGAAGAGCATATAAATATTAATATTATTTTTTTCCATTCCTTCATGTTCTAGTATGATTTGAAAGAGAAGAAAAATTTATTTGGACAGAGAAAAGATTATTGGGATTTTCTGAGCCAAAACCTCACCCGTCTAAACAGCAACCCACATGCAGGGGTTCAACATGTCATTTCTTTAGATAAAGTAAGATTAATTTATATTTTATGTGAGTTTATTGTAGAACATGGGGGCAATGTGGATTGGTGAGAACAAATCAACTATGCTGCATTTCTCTTTGCCATGGGAAAACATAGAGGAGTATGGGAAATTCTCCTCATCTGGAATGTTCCAGATATTGATGAGTTACAGTTTCTAATATCTTAAACTGCAAGGCTAATGATGAAGGATCATTCATCACTGCTAGCTGGGCTATTCAACAACATCTGTGAGTCATCCAATGGTGGCTTAAATAACTCACCATTCAAGATGCAAGACATTAAGATGATATTCACGAAGATGACAACAAATGTTTTTACATTTCTACAGTTCTGTGTCAACCTGGTACCTTCCAGATATGATATGTTACAAATCCAGCATGCTGGATGAGGTTTCTGGGAACTGTAGTCCCAATTCATCTATCTGGAGATTGTTAGGTTTGGGAAGATTGAGGTAATTAATTCTTTCATTTTTGAAAATTTTTGGAAGTGTATATCATAAAAAACACTAAACATCTTACAAAAGGAAATGTAGTTACTATAGCAATCTGCTTAGTCAAAATGATTTGCCAGAAATACATTCCAAGATTAGCTCTTCACATTTATCTCTTTCTACAGCTCCATTTTTAAGCTTTTAAAGATCTACTCAGATACACAGTGTTTTTTTTTTAATGTCTGGGACCAAGATAACCTCACTGCAATTTCCTTAATTTGAACAAATTTTTTCATTCCTTGGAGCTCCATTTCAGCCTTTCATGTCAAGAGCATTCTGTTACTGATCACATGTACACATAAATTGAACTAAAGTTTATAAGACTGAAACAATTGGTTTTGCGCATTGTGATAAACAAAACTGAATATACTACATTATTTCTTAGGTCAGTGTACCGTTGTGAGATTGGTTGAATGGAATTACTGAATAATTCTACCTCCCTTGTTGACAATATGCATATGCCCAGGAGTTCATACTGTATTCTTTTCCACTGAAATAATGGGAAGGTATCCTAGAATTGTGCTCCATGTTTTAAATAGGAATTAGCCTTTGTGTTTGACAAAGGGAACCCGATAAGAAACGGGAATAATGTTTCTATGGTAACATAGGGTTAGGGTTAGGGTTAAATACTTCAAAGACCCACGGTATCTAATATTTTTAAAGAAACTTTTTCACTTTAATTTCTTCCTTTAAGAAGAAAAAAAATTGAAAATTTCCATCTAACGATTATAATGTACGTTGGTTGCTTGATTACATTGCTTTTTTTATTCAAGTAGTCCTCGCTTAGCAACCACAATTGGAACCACAACTTCATCACTCAGAGATGCAGGCATTAAATTAAACATCATGCAAACGCAACTTGCAACTTCTTGCCAGCTTCCCCTTTGACTTTGTCAGAAGCCGTCTAAATGGTTATCACATAACAGCAGGGACACTGTAAACATCATAAATTTGAGGACAGGTCATAAATTTCAGTGCCATTTTAAGTTCAAATGGTCATTAAACAGGGCAGTCATTATCTAAGGACTACCTATCTATGTGCTGTATGTATATATACTCGTATATGTGTGTGCACATACACATATGCGTTCACACATGTACCTACAAAAATATATACATGCTGGCTGAGGAATTCTGGGAGTTGAAGTCCACAAGTCATAACAAGGCCAGGTTTCAAGACCCTGGTCTAGAGAGAATGTATAAATAAATACCTTTAGCAAATAGGGCAATTTAAGGAGTTCTTTACTACTTTGGTCTTTCATTGGAACATTTGTTTAGAACCTTTTAGTCATAGTTCTATAGCAAGGTAGTGCAGTTCCCAAGGAAATTTAGTGATAGTTCATTCTTTATTTAGACTCTGGTGAAGAATATCAATATGGATTGATTTGCACCAAGACTAGGACATTGGCACAATGGATCATTGCAGTGGAAGCAAGTGGGAAAGACAAATTACAGGGAACTTAGAAGAAGATGTAAGCCAAGTTGGATAGTCTAGAGCAGGGATCTTCAAACTTGGCCCTTTTATGACTTGTGGACTTCAACTCCCAGAATTCCTCAGCCAGGCATGCTGGCTGAAGAATTCTGGGAGTTGAAGTCCACAAGTCATAAAAAGGCCAAGTTTGAAGGCCCCTGGTCTAGAGAGAATGTATAAATAAATACCTTTAGCAAATAGGGCAATTTAAGGAGTTCTTTATTACTTTGGTCTTTCATTGGAACATAAATTTGTTTCTTTGATAGCTGAAAACTGCTGTGGGGAAGGGCCGTGCTTTCATCCGCTACTGCCTGGTCCATCAACAGTTAGCTGAGACCTTGCAGCTCTGTTTCATGGAACCAGAAACCACCAGGTGAGAGCCTTTTCTTGCAAGTATCCAATACCCATTTGGAAGCAGCTGGATCTCTTTATCGCATTACATCAACCGTGTTGGAGAGTTAGGCTGATTAATTTCTGGTTCAGGTACAGACCTGGGAAAGCTACCATAAAATTCGGCTATCTGTGTGCTTCCACATTGACAAGAGCTCTTTCTTCCCTGTTCTCCAGATTTTTGAACATTAAGACCCATAAGAAAGTGCTATTGCGAAGATTTCACAAGACCTGTCATAAATCCCCTTCTATACAATTAAAAAAAAAAATTAAACGGTGCAAAATTGACAAGATTTAATCATTGATAATTTATTTGTTTTTGCTGCTCTTGTTTTCTTTCCTTTGGCGTGGAGTGCGGGTGTTGAGGTTTTTGTTGTGGCAGAGAGTGTGGTAGCTGAGGGCGTTGATAACTCACCCCTTCGCCTCAGCATTTCAAGTCAACTCAAGTGGCGTTAGAGACCAGTTGCTCCCAAACTGCTTCTGAGGTTTTGTGGGATGAAAAGCATGGCAGAGTGGAAATGTTCCTAGAGAATTCCCTAGCTATCTTCACAGGGTAAACTTTCTTTAAAACTAAGAGGTGGGATCAAAACAAAGAAACAGCTCGTGCCAAGATAACAATTACTTTTGAATTAAACGAATTATACTTAAATGCTGTTATTTAAGTACAATCAAGAATGAATGAAATGAATTGTACTTAAATGCTGTTATTTAAATACAATCAAGAATGAATGAATTGTTTATATTTATGTTAAAGGGGAGTTAAAGCGCATAATGGATTTGGTTATTGATATAGTTGGTTAATGTTAGATTATGATTATGATTAATATAATTGTAACCCTGTATTCAGCTCTGGGAAGTGGGGGGGGTTGGTTTGGGTTGGTTTTGGGGTTTATATTGTAACTTTTACAAAACTTTTCAATAAAAAAATGAATGAATGAATGAATGAAGTTAATGTTTAGATAGGCTTTGAGAATTTCACTAAAGATTTTAGGGCTCTTTTTGCCCTGGGCCTCGATACAACCCTAACCTCGATTTAGTAGGATAATCCTCAATTGGCAGAGTTAAGGGGGTGGTAGATGTAGGTTAACTGTATTAGTTACTTTTGCATTTTCAAGGTTCGTGATACATAGGTGGTCTCCCACCTTCTAAGCCAATTACATTTGTTTGGCTCTGGTCCGTAGTGAGAACGGAATGGAGGTAACATGGGCAGCTGTGAGTTAGTATGCTTTGTGGTTTGTTCTTGACAGTGAGTGGTACTATGCACATAGCCCTTTCTTGGAGGAAAAGCTACGGACGGACATTTTGAGCTCCCTCTATGAGTTGAATGGCATGGCCTTCCATCTGGCCCTCCGCAGAGAAGATTTGGATGTTGCCTGGCCTATAGTCTCAGAGTGAGTAACAAGACGCAGGCCTTCCCAAATGTGAGGAACTAGGGATTCACATATAGCCACCTCACACTGATATTTCTGAATAAGGCATCTTGGAGCAATATAAGGCTTACCATTCAGGTACCTATGTGCTAATGGAATGTATATTCCTCCAGTGTTCAAAATGCTGGCCATAAGAAGCATATGTTTTTGATAGGACAGCTGCACTGAAAATTATAATCAGGCTTTAGTTATTGTGTTATTTATTTACAAATATGCTTCTCTAGAATTTTAAAATATATGTTCTTCTTTTCTTTCCTCCTTCGTCATTGTTCACATCTTTGCAAGGTTAGTTGTTCATGTACCTTTCACGTTCAAATTCATTTACTTTTTCTGCTCGTGAACCCTCAGACTCTGTGAAACAAACTCTTATGGACTGTTTGCTGTCCCTTTATACAATAGTCTATAATGCTTAGGTATGCACTCTTTCTACTCTTCTCATAGATTTAGGCCACGTCATAATCTGTAATGGTCTCTCGAGGGTAGTGATGAAAAATCTGTGGCTGCTAATGATAGGAAACACTAGAAATTGTAGCTTACTAATTTCTGGAGAATCACAATTCAAACTGACTTCAAGTAGCTTATCTCCTCCAGAAATGTTATGAAACAGAGCCTGAATAGGAGATTAGACACAGAAGTCAGTAGTTTCCTCCTTGATCTATTATTGTTATTTTTCCTAGAGTTTTGCCACGATTTTCCACCAGAGCTATAAAGTATGCCCCATCAGAGGATGGATTGTCTAAGGTACACAATTTATTTATTTAACCTTTCTTCTATCATGGGCTCCAAGTGTAACCAATGACCAAGCCTCACCTCCTTACCTTCAGTAATCAGCTGTACAGTATGTGCCTTGAGGCCACACCAGTTTTTCCTCTGCCTCCTCTAGACATGCAAAAGATTTTCCTGCCAGAAGATATCAGCAATGATTTGGATTCTTGGTTCATCCCAAGATTTTTGTCATACTATTAAAAGGAAAAAATATAGATCTTCCTGCATAACTCTCCACAAAAGTGATTATGGACTCAGGAACAAAATTCATAAACTGCTTTGTAAATCTGGCTGAGATGCTGCCTATGCAGTTTTCACAATAAATAAATCATATGTTTAATGTATATCGTATTCAAGCTTAGAATTGCAGGGCTAGGCTTTCAGAAGTTGAAATTAGGTCACTTCTTCCATTTCCCTTAAAAGATAACTTAACAGCCATTTTTCCCAATCTGGTATCCTGCAGACATGTCTGGAACAATTCCCACAATTCCAGGCAATCCGTTTTCTTATGTGAATAAAGGCGAACGTTTAGAAAAAGTTACAAATTCAATTTTGTAATTAAGGGAGGAAGTAGTGGAGATACTATGGCTTCTGTAATCAGCATCTCCCCCAGCCATCTTCTTTCCCATTCCGTTTTGCAACATCAGCTTTGCAGAGTTCATCCCGAGAGAGGAAAATGAAAGTTCAAAGCTCAGTGAGGGTACAGGTAATCCTCGATTTGTGACCACAACTGAGCCCCAAATTTAGGTTGCTAAGCGAGACATTTGTTAAGTGAGTTTTGTCCATTTCACAATTTTTCTTGCCACAGTTATTAAGTGAATCATTGCAGTGGTTAAGTTGGTAACCTGGTTGTTAAGTGAGTCTGGCTTCCCCATTGTCTTTACTTGTCAGGTGGTCACAAAAGTTGATCACATGACTCTGGGACCCTGCAACCCTGATAAATACGAACCAGTTGCCAAGCATCAGAATTTTGATCACCTGACCATCAGGATGCGACAACGGTTGTGTGAAAAAAATGGTCATAAGTCACTTTTTCCAGTGCCATTGTAACTTTGAACTAAACAAACTGTTGTAAATCAAGAACGACCTGTGCTTGCAAATTGCTCTGCAAATGCTACGTACTCCCTTACAGTAATTCTTAACCAAGGAAGCAGACAGTCAGACTTTATTTCTGCTCAGACAAAGAGCCAGTGAAGCAAAATTGTTATAGAGTCCGAGTAGACAGGTTTATTGCAAGTAAAAAGGGGGATAGGTTGCAAAATCTTGGCTGTGTGTACCTCGGCCCTCCTTTATCAATATGTCTGTTACCCATTGAAATTGATCCTCTTTCTTACTGGTCTTGGTTTAATGGGGAAGGTGGTAATTGTTTACTTGATATTATTTTTATTTACTTATTAAACACATTTTATATGGCTGCCCAAATCGCACTCTAGGCAGCTTACACTACAAAATATGCCCATCTGTTTTTGATCTGCAACATTTTGGAAACATCCCTTTTTTGTCTCCAGGCTAAGAGAATCCCATCCCACTTTGTTTATGAGAATGTACAATGTTTTGGTGACTGTAACTTGAAATCTTTTAGTATTTCTATTAGGGTAGTACCATCTTGTATCAATTATTTATTTATTTATTCATTATAGGTTGAAAACTCAAACCAAGAACATGGGCTTCGTCAAGGAAGCACCTTAGTACACAGGAGCCTGCCCAGAACAATGGATGTTACTGATTCAAGGGTAGATGATCAGTTGAGGCCTGGGCTGGAACAGCCATTGGAGAAATGGATTGGAGTCTGGCGAAGCAGAAAAAACAGTCTCTTGCAGATGGGTTCCCTTCTGAAACTGAACCCTTTTATGGAAAGGTATGTCCAGTGTCCACCTTCTGACAAGGAGCAGAAAAGGGCGGATGGTGATTTGCAGGTCCACTTGGAAAAGGAGCAGCCAGGCAGCATGCCTTATATCCAAGGATTATGTTACCCTCAACCCAAACACTTCCCCTGTAGGAAGGTAGATGGGATAGTGGAAGGTGACACCTTGCAGAAGCAAGAATGCTTGAGAACATTGATAGGGGAGATGAGCATTCTACAGCAAAAGTTGGCCTTGCAACAAGAGGAAAAAGCATCTCTAAAGCAAGCTCTTTCTAAAGAAAACCGCTCTCTAAAAGAAGAACTGACAAAATACGAAGAACAACTGAAAGAGAAAACAGGTGAGCAGGAAAAACAACAGCAGGAATTGGCCAAGGTAGTAAAAGCACTCAGAGAAGCAGAATGTAAGATTGCCAGTTTGACTGGGGAATGTCAAGAGGCATGGGCCAAAAAGGAAGGTGCTGAGATAGCTCTCAAAGAGGCAGAACGGAGACTGAGTACTCAGGAGGCAGAGAGGAGAGAGCATCTGGCACATATGGAGGCCCAAGATTTGAAGCAACAGCAGCTGATTTCTCAATGTCAGGGACTGCAGGAGAAATTGAAAGTATCTGAAAAGAGCCTGGAGAGGTGGGAAGAATATGTGGCAGCCATGAAGAGCCAACATGGCCAACTGGAAACAGTCAAGGAGCTGGCAGAAGAGAAATGTTGCAGGACGGTAAAAAGAGAAGACTATTCAACCATACAGGACATGGATCCACTTAAGAAGAAACTAGAGAGGAGTTTGGCTGAAATAAAGCATTTAGAAAAGGAGAAGGAGACTCTTCTGGAAACTTTTGTGTCTCAGGAACAAAGTCTGGTGCTTTCCAAGCTTGAAATGAAAGACCTTCAGAAAGAGCTGCTGGTATGTCAAGAGCAACTTGTCACCCTCCAGGTGTCTCTGGAGAAGCAGGAAAAGGCCCTAAGGGACCATGAGAAAGCAGCCCTGAGTTTGCAAAGAGAGCTAAATAACCAATCTGCCTGCCTAAAGGAAAGCTTGGAGAAAAACATAACACTGGAAGCCCAGTTAGAGGAAATGGCCAGCAAAAAGTTCCAGCTGGAAGCAGACTCTCTCGAGGAACAGAGGAGATGGGAAAGAACTTTACAGACACTCACGGGCCAGCTAAATACTTTTGAAAAAGAAATAGTCAGACTTCAAGAGGATAAGCAACAGCTCCAAGCCACTCTGCAACAAGCCCTTGGAGAAAGAGAAGTCTTGGTAAAACAGACAGAAAGTACAACTGCTAGTCTGGAAGTTCAGATTCAGGAGATGACATGGCTGAGAAGTGAGCTGGAGACATTGAAGACCACCAGCCAAACTCTACAGAAAACCCAACAGGAGAAAAGTGAGAGCATAGCTTCCACACTAAGAGAGGAGTGCTTGAAGCTGAAGAATCAAATAGAACAGCTGCAGCTGGAGAAAGTGCAAGCCACCAATGTAGCAAAACAGCTGAGTGAGGAACTGGGGCAATGCTGGAAATGGCCCACAGAAGATGATGTTCTGCAGGTAGCACCAGTTTCTTCCATGACAATGACACATCTAGCACATGAGAGCAACAGCAAGGAAACCAGGGCTCCTGTGAAGGAAAGAGGCCTTGTCACAGAGGGAAAGAATCATGGAATAGCAAGATCACCTTTGACAATGAAAGCGATTCAGATTGGTGTGCTTCAGGATTTGGAAGGACCTATCAAGAAAGACGATGGTGCCACACAGAGAACGGAAGTGCATGAGAAGGTAGGTGCCTATTATTCTATGACAGCCAAGGAATAGGGTATCACCAACCTTGAGGATGGTTCCACATGTAATTAATATTTATCTTTTTAAATAGGATGTGACCAACGGCAAGCCATATATTAAAAAACTATAAGGAACTGGCACATCTTTACTAAAATGTTCCTAGATGTCATGCATTGTTAAGGATCCTAACTCTGTTAGATATCACTAGGATTACCTATAGAATAAAAACGGGGCTCAGTGGGGGATGCCATTTGTTTATTTTTTAGGAAATTAAAGAAATTTTTTTTTCTAGTTTTCTGGTAAATTAGCTCTTTTTGGTATGCATAGAGATCACAGACGTTACCAGAATGGAAGAGTTTTAGGAGAGTTTAGGAGGGATGAAGCTGACTCAGAAATCAAGTAATAGAGGTGATAGTCACAGTTCTCTGAATTTTGGTGGAATGAAAGTCAGCATGTAGCAGTTACATGACTGAAGGATTTGAGGGTTCAAAATCAAGTCTTAACTGGCAAAAAAAAACCTTGAGCAACTAGTACTGCTAGAACCTATGTCTTGACAATAATTCTGACTCCTGGGAGACAGGTGTGTATGCTGTCTGCCTGATAGTCACTGATCTTCTGCTGTGCCTTCTTGTCATCTTTGATTTCCCAGGATCTAGCTGGCCATTTGGATAAAATGACAGAAGATGTCCGGCAGGCAATAAAAATGTTAATAGCCAAGGAAAAAACAACAGGTCATCTCATGGAGCAGCTGAACCGGTGAGGGCATGAACCCCATTACATTTAAAGTTGTATTTAGGGAACTGGCCATAGCTCAGTGACAGAGCATGTGTCTTGCATTCAGAGCTCAAGTTTCAAACCATGGCATCTTCAAGTGATGGTTGAAGAACAAACGACTTTGTCTAAAATATCAGAGATGTATTACTAAATCCCTGCAAACACTACCAAGGGACTGCAGGTCAAAGGTGTGACCTCGGTGTGAGGAACTCCCTTATATTCTTAATCATTTTGAAACATAAAAGAGCAGGGAGCTTTCTCACCAATCAGGTACTTCTCATTTGCATCCCACTTATATTTTGCAAAAGAAATTTAAAATCTCTGTGTTGATGTTTTATAAAGCTTTCTAATAATGCATTTCATTTGCTTCAAATGGTAAGGACACAAACACAAGTTCAGTATTCGTGAACCTGAAACTGAGGCACAATTTCATTGGATAGTGGGCTGCTACCAGTGAAAAGAAGGCCATCTGCAATTATCAATGTAGACTAAATTAAATGATATGTTGTTTGATTCTTGTAATGGACTGGGCCCTTCTAAAGATACCATGCTCAGAGATCACAGCAATAGGCAATCAGCAGTCTAAAATACTTGAATAGACTCTAAAGCAGGGGTCCCCAACCCCAGGTCTGTGGACCAGTACCGGTCTGCGGCATGCCAGCAACTGGTCCACACAAACAAGCAAAGCCCCCATCTGCAGGATGCAGGCAGCACAGAAAACCACACACCCTCCAGTCCATGGAAAAACCTCTGTCCATGGAACCGAGCCCTGGTGCCCAAAAGGTTGGGGACCTCTGCTCTAAATCAAGGTTTAAACTGCTCTAGTAGCATTTCTTCTTGCTTCTAAACTAGAGCAAGGAACCTATATGATCCATCAAATATGATTGAACTACAACCTCTGGTAGCTGGCCAGCATGTCTAATAATGAGAGATGCTGGGAACTACCACCTCTGCTAGAAATCACTAAGATTACCTACAGAATGAAAATCGGGATCAGTGGGGAGTGCCATATGGAAGATCCATAGGTTTCCTCTCTCTACTGGAAAAAAGTTGCAAAGCACATTTTTGGAAGGAACTACGAAGCACTCCATAGCTCTGATGTGCATAGTAGATCCTGACTTACACGAGCCTTTCTTTTCCCGCTTAGCTCTCAGCAAGAAAAGGAACAATTACAACTTTTGCTGGAGAAAAACTGCCAGGAGTCTAAGGAGAAGGAGAAGAAATTGAAAGAGGAGCTGTCGGAACAGGGAATGGTCATCAGCAATATGAAAATCAAACTTCTGGAATTATTGCAGTGAGTAAAGGAAGCCCATCAGGAATAGATAATGGTTTTCTTCCACGTTGATTTTAGATTTGGGGTGGGGTGGGGTGGGAGCATACTACATAAGTTACAGACCAGGAAAGCTCAAATGCTGTCCATGGACACTTCCAGTGTATCCAAGGTAATCAATGAAACTCTAAAACAGTGGTTCTCAACCTGTGGGTCGGGACCCCATTTGGGGTCGAACGACCATTTCACGGGGGCCGGCAAACAATGCAGTCCGCCATTTTTCCCCCTTTTCCTTAGCTGTGCTACTCCCTTTTATTCTATTGGCTTTTGAAGGCCAATAGAATAGACTCTCTTGAATAGAGTCTAATTCTATTGGCTTTCAAAAGCCAATAGGAATTGTCCAGGCTGTCTCTGCCCTGCTGAGCCCGCCAAAAGTCCCATTCTGCAAACGGTGCTGCAAGTTATCTGCAGCGAAGGCGAGCTGTCTGGAAGCTTCCACCCCTCCCTGCTGAGCAACTATTAAAAATGTAAGTAAAAGAGTGCCAGAGGTGGGAGGCCAGCCGGTTGTCGGCCTGCACCGTCTCTGCCGCTTGCCAGATACGCCTCGGCTGACGCAGGGGGCGGCACCATGCATGCGCGGCGCTTCCGGGCAGGGAAAGTCCTCAACTTATGACCAGTTGGGTAGTCCTCGAGTTATGACCTGTTGGGGTCGCGACATTAAAAAGGTTGAGAACCACTGCTCTAAAAGTAGGTAGGTCCTCTTTTAGAATTGGTTTTGCAAGAAGGTCCAGCTTTTAGCTAATTCAATTTAAATAAGCTTGCTGCCAAATCTTCCTGTAACCAAGGGGTTAAAGGATGGCACCAAGAGGCAATTTTCTCCATTTGTCCTGGGGCTCCAAATTTTTTTTTTTAAAAAAATCTCTAGGTATGAACAGACACATGACCAGCTTTATTATACTACTTGTGTTAAGAAAACAATATACAGGAAGCGTTAACCCAGAACAAGAAAAACATTTCAATAATAGGAAACAATTGAATTCAGTGGAATGACTCTCCCTGCGTGCTGGCTTGTTCAGAGACAAAAGGAGACTTTTTTCCCTTAGAGATGCCCCATATCTCAAAAGTACAGGACATATTGAAACTAACTGTACTCCTCCCCTAGTAAAAATGACCACAGAACATGTTTCATATAACAGATTCCTTCACTCTCTTCTTTATACTGTCTACTGGATCTCATCCTTCCATCTAGCTTATCTGAATCCAGCCTACTTTTCTTCCTCTCTATTTGTATACCTCAGTTAAATTTCTTGACTTGCAAGCTACATGCAGTGGAATCCAGCTGGACAAAGTGATTTCTCTCTTTTACTTCTTACTCATCAGTAAGAAGTTAACCCCCTCTCCCTTAACTCAAAAGTGCTGCTACATTAAGTCGCCTCCTATTGGCCACACTTCCAAGCTAAGTTTCTTCAGCTCTTCTCCTTTCCTCCCCTGTGCACCTTTTCTGTGTGCATCTGTCCAAGTTTGTCTTGCGTCTACAGTTCCCCAATTTTTACACCTTTCCTTATTCATCGAAATTTTGAGTTTTTGCCTTTTTAATTTTTTGGGGATAGAATCCCTGTTTTCTAGAGTGGTTTAAGTCTAATTCCCTTACTTACTCTCCACTGCCCAACAAACAGTATGTGATTTCTTATCCAATCTCTCCTTTCATTTATATTTTGTATGTGTACACTTTGAGAACAAGCAACTAAATTTGATTTTTAATGTGTGCCATTGTGCCCACAGTAAAAAAAATAATAATAAAAGTTATCTGCCTGCCTGCCTCTCTATCTATCTATCTATCTATCTATCTATCTATCTATCTATCTATCTATCTATCATGTTTCTATAGCAGCATTTCTCAACTTTGGCAACTTTAAGACCTGTGGACTTCAACTCCCAGAATTCCGTAGCAAGCCTTACTGGCTAAGGAATTCTAGAAATTGGAGTCCACATATCTTAAAGTTGCCAAGGTTGAGAAACATTGCCCTATAGATCTTGTAGCCTCGGTTTTGACTTCTTCCCCTTACAGACCTGTGCAATCAGATTCTTAGCATCCAATTTAACTTACTTCTGCAGGCAAACCTCCTTCCATTTTGCAGCATATCTTAACTCAGGCATGTCAAACTCGTGACGTCACGTGACGTTGTGCAACGTATCGGGCCGGTTTTGCCATTGCCCGCAATGGGGTGGGCGCGGCTTCCACGTGACGCATCCAGCCCGTGGACCAGCAGTTTGACACCCCTGTCTTAACGCCTTAATTCTGTACTCTATAGGTATATGGGCAAATCTGGTGAGTAATGCAAGGGAAGACAATTCAGTCAGCTTACCCCCTTTGTCTTCAGTGTTTTCATACTGCCTTATTTCCAAGTGTGTCTTGAACCTTCATTCCCTTAGGGTCAGATTTAAATTTTTCCTGTACATTCTCTGTTGATGAACTCAAATACTTGCACCATAATTTTACCCTAGATATAGAGTAAGAAACCTGATAGAAACCAATGAAAACAGGAAATAGAGCCCATTTAGATCATGTGGCATGTTTTTCCATCATATGACACAGTACAAGACCATTATCCACTATAGAGCAGATGGCCTGCTTCTTTGTCATCCAGACAATGAATGTAATTGTTTCCATTACAAATACCTTGATTATAGGTTTAGATATATGATACTGATTATAACTGATTATATGCCATCAGGTCAGCATTGACTTTTATAAACACACGGATAGATTTTTCTCCATGACAATCTGCCCCTAAACTGAGCCTTCAAACTTTCCAATGGTGTACTCATTGCCTCTATAACTGAGTCCAGCCACCTTGTAGTTGGCTATCCTTTTTTCTCTGTTCTTTCCCTGCACTATCACAGAGGTAGGCCTCCACTGTACCTGGCATTGGTTTTACAAATAGAAATTCAGATCCCAGCTAGATGATAATTAGCCAGCTCATCTTTGCTACTACTGTGTTCTTGAAGATGAGAAAAATTATAGCCAATAATTAGGAATCTGAGCTAATTCAAAAAAAGGGGGGAAAAGTGAGGGTAAACTTGGCACCCTTTAAACAGAATTGTTTTTAATCAGCTCTGGGGAATAGATTTACCTCTTAGTGCCTTCCAGATTTTGGCTGGTTAAACTATTAATGTATCTCTGAACCAAGTTAGGAGAAGATGATAAGGGCAAGATGATCAGTATCCATTTAAAAAGAGAAGGGACAGAGAGATGTTTTCCTTTAGTAAAGGCTGTGACAGTGTAGCATTCATTTTGAAAGACTGCAGACTATGTTCTCACTGTAATTGCTCTCCAGAAGGTGGCAGAGTCATTTGATCTTGTAGTTGCTGTTAATTACTTCCAAGCAGTTTTTATGGTAATTTTCTTTTTGGTCTGTTAAGAGAGATTGTATTGCCTTTCCTATTAGTCTCTCTGAAATGGAGGCCATGAGAACTCTCTTTTGAAGCTTGATATATAGCAATCGGTGCTCTCCTTGCACAGATACATTCATAGTCCAACCTGTGTTTTGACCTGTGAAGATCAAATTGATGTCATTTTGTACTGACAGAGGACAATATCCACTGACAGGCCAGTTGTATTGTATGAAGCTGTTTTCAGCCAGGTGCTCTATAATAATGAATGACCAATTTTGCCAAACCAGTTCAGATTTCAAGGTCCCAGATGGTGACATATTCACTGTCCCCGAGTATCTTATGCAACTTGATATATTGGTGATAGAGAATTAACAGAGGTAAAAGGGAGGGGGAAAAAAGAGATGTCATTAATTTGATTACTATGCAACCTTCCTAGTTAGTCACTGGAGAAAATGTAAACCAAAAACTTAGCCGATACTGGATCAATGCATACAACTTGACTAGATCCTCATTATTTAATCTAGGAAAACTCGTTTTAGTCTAACCTAAGTTAAGTGATGATAAATATTTGAAGAACTGTTAAATAGGTAATAGAGCAAAAATTTTCTGTTGCTCCAAAAGGTAATAAGCAACCCAAAAATTATGGATTATAAGCAAAGGGTTTTGAGTAAATGATAGATGATTTTTCAACAGTACAAACTGCTGGACAATGGAACCTGTTTCCTCAGAAGATGGAAAATAATGGTTAAGAAAAAGACTCCCCAAAAGTGCTTTTATGTATGTAATATATAGAACAATTCCAAAAACCTTGGTTATATTGCTTGAAAGTCTTCTTCCTTGGCCCTTTGTCAAAAAAAGCTAATTCAAATGTTGACAGACAACACATTTCAAAACGCTCTCTCTATAGATTAAATGTACATTCCTTATTCTAGTGTTGAATGGTAGTTCTTTTAATCAGCTCTCATCTCCAAAAGATCTATAATTTATAATAAATTTCATCTATTGGGAAGAAAAACATAATTATTTTAGCATGCAATCCAAAACTGTATTAACAATCCTTTTGGAGTTGGCCCAAAATATGAGGATAAAAGTACAAGACCAAACCATTTGAACTGCACTTCCAACAGGAACGTTGTTATAGCTGATCTCTGTTAAACATTTTCTGAGGCATTCAATATACACAAAGCAAACTGTCAGCTCTACAACGAACCTGGCTGCAGCCATTTTCGTTGTTCTAGGTTGCCACAAGAAAGGGAGGGGGGAAAACTTATTTCTAGTAGTCTAAACACAAGCAAATCTTGTGGGAACCAAGGTCAGTCCCACACCGTAGTGGAAGAGGAGAATCGTGGGAATCGTTACATTGTATTACTTTGATTCTAGGAGGGAAAGTTTAGATGTGGTTTCACTTTTGACCGTGCCGATGATGTATATCCAATAAACATGTTCTTTGAGGAACTTTCCTGCCTCAGAGTTCTGATTTATTTGGTCTCATTCATTGGAACCACGACACAGACCTTTCGTTGTAATCATTTTAAGATTATAAAAAACAAATTTGCTGCTGTATAAAATTACCTTCCTTTGGTTTACCATAACAGGATATTCAGGTTTCTTATGCCAGAGATCATCTAAATGAATTTCATCAACTTCCTTTAAAAAGGAAGTTACGGTTAATTCTTCTAAAACCTCCAACCACTGTGGGATTTCAGAAAGAGTAACAGCACTGGGGCCAAATAAGCCAAATACAAATGCCTAAGAGGGACAAAAACTGCCAAGAAGTATTTTGAAGTAACTTAAAAGTATCTGCTTTCTGTATTTTAGGGAGAAGGATGCTTTGTGGCAGAAGACGGAAGGTATCACTTTGCCAGTTGCAAATGTAGTTCCTCAGAACACAGGGTTGTGTTCTCAGTGCAAAAAAGAGTTCAAGCTTATGTCACGCCGATACCAGTGCAGGTGATGTATTTATGCCCAGTTCTGATGATTGGAGATGTTGCCCAGATACAATACCTACAAATGGCTGTAAAGTAAATATAACGTGGGAACAAGCATACCATGATCAAAACAGATATTGAGCTCTAAGTGAGCATCCCACAATCTGTCCCAGAGCTTAAGGGAGGGGGAGAAAAACAGGTTTTCAGAGAAAGATTCCTTCTCCACTGGACTGACAGACCCAGCAAATGTGATTTGCTTATTGCAGTTGATCAATATGTCGTAAAGTGCCAAGCCTTAGTAGAGAGTTCATCTTTTCCCCCCCCCCCCTTGGTAGGACTGGATGAACCGGGGGGGGGGGTTGGTTTTCTTGGTTTTCAGATTTGCGCAGTACAGTTGACCTGGGAAAGTAGCTTTCCTCAGAATTGCCCAGCATATTTTTTGGATTAAAACTGCCCCTCTCCTGCTTCACTACTATTAGGTTTGAAGCAAAACATTTTAAGGGCATCAGTTTAGGGAAGGTCACTAATGGGTTACAGCACTTGGAGGGAGAAAAATGACAGATGAGGAAAGTGCACTATGGAAAGTGTTAATGCAACTATCTCTGGTGCCGTGATCCAGTTTAGGAGGTGAGGGGAATAGTATTGGTCTGAATTTACTTGGTAAAAGAGACAGAAACTCCACTCTGGGGTTTCTGGCTCTTATTTACTTTGCTCAGCTACCGCTGCATTTGGTATTTTCCTACAGTTCCGGAGGTTGGCCATCCTTTTCCAGTAAGCAGCAGAAAAAGGAAGTCTAAACCTTAAATATGATGTTGCCATTTTCAGAAGCAGAGAAAACAAGCGTGATAAGAACTATCTCATGAGATAAAAACAGAAAGGGTTAACCTTTAAACAGCTGGGCTTTCCCATACCACAATATTATTTGCATACCACCTCTTTTGCAGAGGCTCTCAGAAACTTGGACAGTTGTGGTGCCATCATATTTGTTTAATCATGGTCCCACAGACTTTTCCATCTCATCTGTGATGTACTTTTACAATACACTTTATTGTTCCTTTGCCAGCTGTGCTAGTCAGCCCAGGTCCATGGCTGTCTGATAGTAGACCTGTGCTTGGGTAGTTCAAATAAAACATTTGCTCAGTGTTTGGCTACTATAAAATTGTAAATTCTGTACTGAGGATCCCTGGGGAAGGGATAAAAAAAGGAAAGTGCTGATATTGTACAGTTTCTGCACAAATCTGTGGTGCATCCATGCTTGCAGTGTGATATCCAGTTCTGTTCTCTGCATCTCCAAAGAATACTGTATTTTTGCTTTGGAGAAGATGCAACTATGGGTCAACTAAAAAGAAGAGGTTAAGAATTGCTCACCTGTGAAGGAAGATTACATGATGTAGAGATGTGAAATGGCATAAAAGTAGACATTCATCCCTTCTCATAATACTAAGTCCTACAGTTACTCAATTCAGATGATCGACACAAGATTTAGGACACAGGAAAGGAACATTTTTTTCACATACCAGTTAAATTGTCTACTTTGCTATCAGTAGTTGTGATGTACATGGGTTTTAAAAGAGAATTAGACAAACTAATAAGATAAGTTTCTCAGTATCTTGTGGTTATAATAACTATACTTTATACCTTGATTATTGGTATATTTGGTATTATTGTTGGCAGGATGTTAGTTACTAGGAACACAAACCTGGCTCGTGGGCCTCAATTGGTATCTGGAATACTGGACTAAACTTTGTATGATCTAGCAGGACTCTTCAATGTTTATATATTTGATATTTACAGAGGTTCGTGCTTTTTGAGGTAAGCTAAGGCAATCCATCGCATTAGGCTTTTCTTGGTTATGGCCGGCTTCTCAGGGAGATAATGGCTGCTTTCTGCATTGGCATATAAATTTCATTGAGAATAGTGTGAACCAAGAAACAAGATTAAATTGTGCTTCTCGTTGCTACTTGTGAGTTAGAATAATTAGGCAGCATTACTGATGAAGCTAAACATTCAGCCGTGATTGTATAATTCCCTTCAGATCAGACAGAGATGGGCTAGGTATCAAGTCATTAAATTTGGGCGTGAATAAAAAGTGATCTCCTGTTGTCTTTCTCTCCCACTCCCATAGGTGGTGCCAGAGCACTGTGTGTCATGCTTGTTCAGTGAGCAGGGGGCACAAGGAGCGCTACTGCATAGCATGCTACCAGAAGAGAAACGGTCAGAGCACATGACCCTTGCTCTCATCCAGTTATCCCATACTATCCAGCCTCATTGCAAGCTCAGTTACCTGCTTGCATCCTGGCTATGAGTGGATTTGAGATATCAGATCCAGAAGGAAAAAAAGCAAAGGAACTCTTGAGGTGATAAAAGAGAACTGCCTATCTCTGTTGGGATTAAAACTGACCCTGAACAAAAAACACTGAAGTGGTGTGGAGCATCCCCTATTTTTTAAATGATGCAACGCTATTACTTGTTTGTGTCAGAATCCAATTATATTTCATCTTTAATTGTTGTGCCAATGAGATATGAAGCCAACCTGCCTTCAGCCCTTGCAGCAGTATATATTCCCCCAACCTGCTCACATAAGCAATAAAATATCAAACCATTTGGAAACCACAAGGCATTTGATCCGGGCTAAGTAATGGAGAGAGATGTTGGCCGTATGTACTTTGATTCAATTACTTGGAGAAATACAATAAAGGCATGGAGGAGACTGAATTAATTTCTTCCAGTATAGAATCAGCACTCTGCATATGTAGAAAGAAAAAAAGGGAATGTGGAAGGGAATGATCTCATGGTAAGCACTAATCTATCCTCACTTCAAAACAGTAGTGCTAAGATGAAAAGACAGAAGAGAGAATACAAATGAATGTTTTAGCCACTGCAGAGTTTCTTCCAATCCCTACTTTTTGCTCTGCCCCATTCAGGGACCACTCAAATGATGCTGTCATACACTTCCAATCTTCCCAAGTTGTCCTCTGTCATCATTCCAGAACAAATCTGTTTAGGAAAAAACACTCAGATTCTCAAATAGCCTATGAAAAAGTTTTGCTTCAGTCTCCAATTCTTGGTACTATTAAGATTTAGCTGGATTACAAATCTTCATCAGCAAGGACCATATTGTCCTAGTGTTGTGGGATATATATCTAATGCATGACCTGGAAGACATCAGCTTATGGGAACTGGATGTAAATTTAGCAGATATTTAAATTGTTAGAATGCTTGCATGACTGGGAAAATGAACTAGGGGAATTGTGGCTAGGGAAGAGTCCCACTCTATGAATAATTATTGTGTTACCAATTGGTACGTAATATGTTTATTCTGGTGGAGGGGGAGATATTACCATGAGCTCTGGGAACCATAATTTGGCTGCATTCCTGGGCTTATCACACTGGAATACAGATTGAAAGAGTCTTGCTGAGGAGAAACCTGTATACAATTGTATCACTAATTATGTATTTGCTATGAAATAGCTATGTATTTAAGAAATAAAATTGAATGAAAATCACTTGGCCAGTGTGTTGTAAATTCACATAGCATTTATATTTTAGGTTGTTTCATATGAGCCATTTTAGAAATAGTGGGAAAGTCATTTCAACAGCACTGAAAAAGATTAATGTTAATCCTGCTCTGCATGTTCTCATAAGGTGGCCCATTGTTCATGTATTGCTTTCTATTGGACAAATGTGACTTTGTAGACCATAGAGCCTTGTTTACCAGCCCATCGGCCTTCTGTGACAAGCAATACATTAATCTAGGACTTCAGGCACAGTTGGTTAAATAATTTGGAAGTGAGAAGTGAGAAAGAGGGAGATGAAACATGATTTGCCTCTAGCTTCTGTTTTCTGGCCTGGGATTAATGACCTGGGAGATCAGACAGTTAAAAAAAAAATCCAGTTTTTCCCTGTTTAAAAATGATCCTCCTCCTCCTCCAGAAGAAATCTTCACAAACCCCCTTTCAAAGCAGCTTGTGTTCTTTTAAAAACCGTCAATCCCTGTCTCTAGATTTACATTAAAACAGAATGATACAAAAGGAAAGATGTGAAGAGGGAGATTGCGAAAATCAAATTCGTTAGCTGTCCAAAGTACAGTGCAGTTCTCGTAGTGTTCACATCAAAATACTTTAGGAAGCCTGATGGAACTTAACATTGCCATGTGATAAATGAGAGAAAACGAAAATACAAGATATTGGATCTTTTAGTAACAAAAGCAGTCCCTCCAGTTTGTTTTCCCTTTGTCACACCTTGCTGGAACAGCTGCCCTAAAACTGACCCCCTCTGCCCTCTTGATGGAATGTGACATTATTCCCTGATTTATTGTTTACTATTTCAGTTATGAATTTTGCCTTGTATCCATTGCTGAAAGTTCTAGAAGAGAAACATCAGCCTTCTGCCTTTTAATAATGGATGGATGTGCAGAAATCATCAGCTAAAGATTTCCATTGGTGAAGATCCAACTGCCATAAGGATTGGGATCTGGAATCTAAGACTCTAGATCAGGGATATCAAACTGCCGGCCCATGGGCTGTTTGCATCACACAGAGGCCACGCCCACCCTAGCAAAAATGTTGCAATACATCGCGACACGTCACATGATGTGGCGAGTTTGATCCCCATGCTCTAGATGTTGCTGGAGTTGATTCCTACCATGGACGAATAGCTACAAAAGCTGATGGAATTAGTAGAGATGGCCAAATTGACTGTGCTGATAAAAGAAAAGAACATAAGTACTATTGTTTCTACCTGGAAACCACTTCTGGACTTTGTGCTTGAGGTGGAAAAAAATGATACTTTGATTTTGGGTTTTACTGATTAGGTTGATTTGCTGATACAGAAATGGCTAGTGCAGTGGTGGCGAACCTATGGCATGTGTGCCAGAGGTAGCACTCAGAGCACTCTCTGTGGGCACGCGCACAATGGCCCGGAGATGGCAACCGTCCCTCTTCAACCAGCCGCCCGCTAACTCGCCGAGGTCCCACATGGCCAGATGCATCCCAGCACCCATGCACTCACTGGCCTCTATGCAGCGGCTGATGATGTCAGGCAGCAGCTGCCCTAGCCCCTGCCTCACCTCGCCCTGTGACAATGGCACCCTTGCCTTGCCTCGCCTCACTCAGCAGGACCAGCCTCCTGCCCACCACCCCACCTGCCAGAGACCCCCTGGATCTCCCCCCAACCTTGCCCGGCCCCCACAGGCGTCCCTCCCCACGAGCAACATCAAGGTGATCATGCCCACCTTGGCCACACCCACCCAGTCTGCCATGACCACCACAGCCATGCCCACCCAGTGGGCCATGCGCACCTGGCACCCGGCAATAAATAAGTGGGTTTTGGGTTGCAGTTTGGGCACTCGGTCTCTAAAAGGTTTGCCATCACTGGGCTAGTGCATATTACTATAGAAATATAAAAAGTTGAAATTTTATTTTAATGTTTGATTTTACTGCACAGAGAGAGTAGGAGGTCAATGCCTTTTGTTTCTTCCCCTCCCTTTCTTCACACCTTTTTTGTTTTCCCTTTTTCTATTGTTATCCCCTACTATTTGCTTTTGTATTTTCACATTTTGTGTTATAAATGAATAAAACTAATAAAAAAATAGATGTTGCTGGAGTTTGATTCCAACACCTACTAAGTCTCAAATTATCTGTCTAGTGATTAGAACTGATGGAGGTTAGACTCCATCAATACCTAAAGGCCACAGTTTCTGTATTCTCCCTTTGAAAGTCATCAGAGGAAGAAATAGAGCTGTATAAAACAGGGTGGAAATCAATCCTCAAACAGATTGTAATTGTTACTCAACAGTTTCTGCAAGAAAGAAAATATGCATCCATTGCATCCTTTATCTAGCTTTTTCTTGTCTAACTGGGCAATTAAGCAACTAGGTGCAATAGTGTTAAGTTCTTAGCCAACTGTTTGTTCCCTCTGCAGGTTCCTAGTGTCATTGCAGAAGCTTCTAGTCTCTTAAGTAAGAGGCTACCAACAGCTACTGGAAGGGAAGCACAATGTCTGAATCCCAGAAGGGTTATGTGAGTAAACATACCAAGGAGGTCACTGAAAAAATCTTAGTTGCTAAATTAGATAAATATGAGGCTACTGCATTTATGTGTTGCAAATACCCTGGGAGATATGGAAAGTTGCACTCCAATCCATCGGGTGCCTATCAGACAAGAAGATGTATTGTCTTCTTAGAAGGAAATCCCCCTGAGTCTGAGTTAGCATCAAGTGATTAGCTAAGCCAATAAATGGAAAATAATATAGAGGGCAAAGGGAATGCCCTTAAAGGAACAAACGCTGCTAAAGCAATGATCAGATTAGCAGGGTTTGAGTCTGAGCCAAGAAAATAATGAGAAAATATCTCATATAGGCCACTCTCTGGTCCACATGAAGATAAAGCGAAGAGGGGGAGCACATTCAGACTTGAAAGATTGCGATCAATTCTGCAAGAGAGACCAGATGTTATATAAGCCAGGAATTCTTTTATTGTAAAGTTATAGTAACAGAATCTTGGATGTCTAAATCTGCATTCCCCTCCCTCACTTTATCTTTGTGTGATCTAACAAGGAATTTTTCTAAGGTGACTCTTTTGCCAATGTAATGGAATGTATGAGGAAAGAGGAGAAGATGTTGCCTAGAAAACAGTCAGATAACAGAGGAAGGTGCTTGCAGTCATTTAATAGTCAGAGAAAGAAACTTAGGAAAGACCTGTCCTAATCAATTATGCAATTTATCAAGTGGAAATGGGAAGTTTGTGACTTCAGACTTGCAAGATTCTGATAATATAATCTTACAATAAAATAGAATTGGTTCATTTAATTGTGTTTCCTGTCTGGTTTACCTGGGAGGGCTGACAGCCCCAGACTCAGGTTTCTTTTATCTGATTTTTGGAAGCAGCTCTACCTCTTGTCCCTCAAAGCCATTCCTTTGTCACACAACATCCTTACAAGATAGATCAGTTCTTTTTGGTTTTCCTGTTGGTTTTTGTTGTTGTTGTTGTTGTTTCTATAACAGCTCTAGTAACAGAATCTTGCAAATCTGAATGTGCTTCTTGCTGCCTCGTTCTTTGAAATGAGTTCCAGATCATGGCTACAAAACTCTGGACAACTAATAGACAGAAGCACAATTCTAACTTTAATTCTTTGGTGCCATGGTTATATGGATTGTTGCAGCCCAATTCTATTCCTTTAGTATAGTAAAATATGTCAGAAAAATTGGGGATAATTTTAAGCCCTCCACATTTGACTTCTCCAACGGTGTCCTCCCAAATACACTAGGAGTACAATTTGGACTGTTATAGACCCAGCAGAACAGGAAGTGCCAAATTAGGGAGGCTGCTGAAACTGTTCTAACTATGCCTCTTTTTATGCTTTCCAACCTAATAGAATGTTGGAAAGGGGGTGGGGGCAAGAGTCTGTTCATCTATCAACACAATACTGAACACCTCTCCAAAAATTGGACAGAACATCATCAAATTCAGGGTAGGGGAAAAAGAAAGACTGAGTCCAAACATGGACTGGATCAGACTTGGTCTGTAAAGGGGAAAACATCCCCCCTTATGGTACAGATAGGTAGGCAATGGCTTGGATGATAGTGACTAGTTATAAACCTTTGTTCCTCCTCCCTCCACGTTACATAACCCAGAGTAGGATCAACCTTCTCTAAATCCGTCAAAACCTGGCTGTGTCAACAAGCCTAGAACCTCAAGGGAATGATGAATTGATGAGAGGACTCCATTTTTTGTAATATCTAATGCTGCCTCCTTGCCTTTTAATCCTCTTTTTAACTTGTTTTTTATACTGCTATTTTATGGTTTTTATTGTACACCACTCAGAGCATTTGTGAGATGGGTGGCAATATAAATATGATAAATAAAAATGCAGCTCTCCCCTTTAAGAATGCTTCTTAAATCCTCCCGCCACTGTAAATAGGTTTGTTTGTTGCTGGTAAAGGGATTGGAAAGAATTCCAAAAGTTATACTCGGCATACTTTTTAAAGCTGTATTTTTTAAAAATGGAAACCATTCCTACAACTATGCCTTAAAGTGCAGTCTGGTGCACAGCTACATAGCTTGGTATGATAAAATCCGGTATTGTCAGAGGGGCATAGGAACCTATTGCTCCACTGAACCCATCATCATCTGTAGTGACTAATCTCCACTTTCCAGGGTTTCAGATATTTTAACTAGATGTTTTCCAGTCTCAATGGATATATCAGGAAAAAAAATTGAGATCTCATTTGTGGAAATCAGATGTTCTCCTGCGCAATTGCATTTGCTCCATATTCTATGAAGGTTTGCCTGTTCTGTGGTTTTAGGTATTAGTTGTATGTATTATTTATTACTAAATTGCTTTTAAGTTATGGTAAGTTGTTTTTAATTAATTCTTCCGCACTTTTTAACACTGAGTATGTGCGCTGCAATTAAGCAATATTTCTCAAGAATCTAGGGAAGTGACATTCAGGCCATCAAGGCAATAGCACCTTCCCCTTGTGGTCCTTGGGACTCCAGCTGAGAAAT